CCTGATACGTAGCCGGCCAAAGGCGACTTCTTTCCATGCCCCGCCTTTGGCTCCGCCCGAATTACCTTCGATTGTCCATAGAGTGTAGTTTTTGTACGTTTGTTTCTCTTCGGAAACCGAATCTTCATGCGTGAAACTTTGTGTGCTGTTTCCAGTGATCACAACTGACACATTCATGTTGGAAAGAATGCAAGAATTTTCCGCGAAGGATTCCTTTAACCATGGTTTGTGGTTCCCGCGTGCCCCAATATCATGCAAAATAGCGTTTTGGTAAAGCTTGGCACGCCCTGAAGTACCTTCCTGGTAAGTCATATAAATAAAGCAGGGCCCTTCTCCTAGTAGTCTTTGCTAATACGGTTCAGCAACCAGAAGTTGGTCACCCACTAACAATCAGCATGCAGCAGAATGTTGAGCATCTAAAACTGAGCACCCCTCCAACGCACAACCTGTTGGGTAAATGTGTGAGACTATTTTATACCAGGGCCTCGTAAGAATGGAGGCTACTCTCTGTCCTTAATTATAGCGATACTTCTTTTGCGATAGTAGATTTGATTTTTTATTCCTTGCTTTTTTGCTGATGTCATTCAGTGAACATTCAAAAAAACTAGTGACGTGTGCGTAGCGTACCTCATTGCTCTTTCCACAGCTACGAATTCTCCATTGTGGTCCAGAAAATGTGTCAAAACGACTGTGAAATTCGTGTTTTGGCGACAACGATCCACCACAGCCGTCAACGAGGTGGCGTTCGACAGCAGCCTGAACTTGTCAAGGTTGAATGGTACAACTGGGAAGCAGTGAAAACAGAGAAAAAATTAGCCAGCTTTCTCAAAATTATTGCGATTTCAAGTAAGAAAGAAAGCGTTCTATAGTCACTGCGGAACCTGAATAGATACCCTTACTCAGAAACCCGGAGCTAATAGCACAGTAAGATCAATACAATAAGACATCTTCGGTGCTATCATTAGGATCCGCTTTCAGGAGGAAGTAGTAGCGCAGGGCAAGCCGTAGGCTACCATTCTCACTGTGCGCTGATCAAATTTTCTCCCAGTTCACCGTCCCTGCGGCTGTGATTGTGTGGCGCATACTGGCCTCCTTGCTAGGAGAAAAATACTACTGTGTACACAGCTTGCGAGACCGTGACTGAAAAGCGTTCTTATCCAGAAAAAGATGTTGGAGAGTGCTTTTGCCCCGTGTCATAAAAGCATCAGGTTGGCCCGGAACAACTGTAGTTCCAAACGTCTTTACAGCCAGTTTGAGAGTCTGATGCACGGCGCATCCCTCAGTGGTTTATCTTCTCCACTTTAGGCAGCGAATAGCGAAAGCTAGTAAAGTTTAACAGCAATGATACCGGTATTCTACCTGACAATATTTTTCTGGTTCCGCTTGATGAAGTCGTATGGCGCATCAAACAGCAACTCGAACTGTTGGGAGTATGCGACGACAGAGATCTAAGACGGAAAATGTAAATGGATGTGGGAAGCCGAGAGGTGGAGAAATATTGAAATGTAGCTCACGACAACATTGGCTGAGTCCTCATGACCAACGCCGTCAGTGACAGTGACGGTAAACGAGTAAGACGCCTCATGTAGCGCATCGTTGGCCGTCAACTCTCCAGTCTTTGCGTTGATTGATATTGGAGAATCCGTCAGACCGTAACTCTGTACAATGAACGAATTAGAGGAAAGATTCTTATTTTAAGTTTGCTCAGAGTGCGTTAAGAAGAAAGGAGTGATTGATAAGCGAACCCGTTTTGATGTTCTAACAGCTCCCGATATAGCATAACGAAGACCTTCCTTCTCTTCATCGGGATCGGTCGCATAGACGTTTGCAAGGTGACTACCTGGGGACGCTTGTCCCTGAAAATATCATGAAAGGAGAAGTCTTCCATGCAGAAACAAACATATGTGTATTGTAAGAGAGACAATGAAGAGGCAAATGTTGGTGAAGTACACGTGTGTATTTATGTGTAAAGTAACTGAAAAATAAACAGTTTTCATGAGCTAAAGTTTCTTCGTGTACCTGAATGACAGTAGCATGGTAGGACTTTTCGGTGAACTTCGGAAAATTGTCATTCACGTCCTTGATCGTCAACACCACAGTAATTGTTGCATTTGCAGGGTTTTTGGGATCACGGCATGCCAGCTGACAGTCATATGCGATTACCTAGAAACAAATAAACATTGGCTCGCTTTTAGAAATCATCGTAAGAGGCCGCGGTAAGAAGATTTCTACAATTCTTAATAGAGCGCAAAATAGAGTGGAGCAGCTCTTTGTGGAGCCATCGACTCTGACCTCTTTTCGGACCCTTTTTTCATGTAAGCGCAGCGTTGTTGCTTAGTCACGCCCACATGGGTTACCCCGACATCGTCCCCATATTGAAAATCATCTCTTTGATAGCAGTAGAGTAAACCAATTATTCTTCTCACAAGTCACTAGGAAAATTCAAAAAATCTACATTAACTGTATTACCGATTTTCGTCTATCATATCATCGGAATGATTCACATCAAATCTATTGAAAGCACTTCGCCTTCTCCATTCGTCCTGTGATGGTTTAGCGCTGTTTACTTCAGAACTATTGTGATTTAGTAAAGGCCGCCTATGAGCAGTTTACAGTAAAAATGCTTTGAAATAGTGCTTGCACATAGGGAAAAATGGATAATGAACGTTGAGGCTCTCGACGCGCAACAAGTGATGAATCCGGATTCTATGCATAGAATTTCGCCATTTGTCGATGTCTTGACTCTTTTTCGAAATTTTTTTTGATTGCTTCGAATCGACTCCAGTCATAGTTTTGTGTTCTGCTTGTACCGATTATCACGGATTGCTGGACGAAATTTATTGGATCGCACTCCCAGGTAAGTTATGCTCCCGAAGGACAACATAAGCAGAACTTATGTGCACGATACCTTTGGTCTGCAGGATAGACCCCTGAAGACAGTCAAAGATGTGATATTGCATGGAAAAGCCCCAAATGAGCGTTTGGGCCTTGCAAAGTAAGCTGGCAGCAACCGGCCAACTTATCCTGTTGATCAGGCTGATTGTCTGGCTCACCGCTCATCGCGTTCTCGTCATGACTTCTTTTTGCACTTTAAGTCTCTCGGTGCCTTTAAGAGACAACAGCGATTACGCACATGAAGTACGCGCTTAACCCTAACGGAAAACAAAAAAAGGTGGTGGGTTGAAACGCAAAAGGCGTTTTCGGATTTCTTTTCCTGTTTTTTGCCGGCCCAAGTATCAACCCTTTCATAATAAGGAAGGCAAGGCAGGGAAGTACACCAGGTTCGAACAGATGAGTATGCTTTGTAGTGCCTTAGGTGCGTGAATTTGTTCCTTTAAGTGATGAGTGGAAACTATGTAGGACGACGGCTGAGCGATGTGTGCAACAAGTAACACTCACTTTAAATCGGATTTCCGCTTTTTGTTCCCGATCGAAGCTTTGATTGGTGTACAGTTTGGGAATCGTTTGCTCCAAGGAAAAAGAAAAGAGGAGAATCAGTCGTGTAGCAGATCTGAAATAAAAATGACAATTTGCAAGCGTGATTTCATACAATCCATTCTAGGATTAATCTCTGAGAGCGTCTATGCAATAATTAGCATTTCTTTAATTTTAAACAGCGTTCCTAGATTTGTATATTTTATTTGATTTTTCCGAAAAATCGCCTTATTCGGAGCATTTGAAAAAAGAGCATCAGAAGACACCACTTTATAAGTTATCAATTCATTAGATAAGATTCTGGAAACTAGTAATAGGGATGCAGGTACGAGTGGTTCTTGATTCTGCTGTTATGCACTGGGTAGAGCTTGGGTTAGCCCTTCCACCTGGATTTGAAATCTTGGCTTTGCCAAAAGTACAGGACTTAAAGCCTACACCACGAGGGCATCATACATGGATAGAAGTTGGTGTGATTCGACACAATACTGCAGAAACGGAGCTCATCAACTATTTCTACCGTCTGCACTGCGGTCTCAGAGGATGGTAAGTGATATAAGATTGGTGCCTTATTCGCCAGCTGAAATCGCCCCATGAAGATGCAGACGGTCGTGATTCTGCTGTTATTGCACTTAGCGGTAGAGCCTTACGACTTAGCCTTCACCTGCGATTTTGAAATCTGGACTCTTGCCAAAAGTACAGCGCACTTCTTGCCTTCTCCTTTCTTGTACCCGCTTGCCAAAATAACATGAGACTTCCTGCATTAACCTTTACAGCCCCACGCCTCGAGAACTGAGCCGGAATTTTTATCGAAATTGGTCATTGACTGTGAATTTGGCCAGAAACTTGTCTTCGGGGGTAATTCGACCCGTAGAACACGAATATCACATTTGTTTACCGCTAGAACGCCTGGCGCTCGCGTCAGAAGCGCCGGCGCCAAAAGGCGCCAGAACATCTCGGATCCCCAAATTCGCTGGAAAGTTGTCCTCAGAGGTATTTTGACCCGTAGAATATGATTATCACATCAGTTTTGTTACGAGTGAACCTGTAGCCTGCGCTACGAGCGCCCGCGCAAAACTGTTGTGATAGCGCCGGCGCCTGTGGCGCGGGCGCCAAGCGTTTTCGCTCTAAACCGGTATTATATTCGTGATCTACGGGTCAAATTACCCCTGAAGGCAAGTTTCTAGCAAAATCCACAGTCATGGACGAATTTCGATCAAAATCCGGCTCAGTTCTTGAGGAGTGGGGCAGTAAAGGGTAAATAGTGTAGTGTCGAAGTGACCAACCAAATCGAGGTCCTTCTTTGACAGATGGTTTTTTTAAGGAGATCTGTGATAATACGATACCTGCCACACAATACGCCACTAGTATTAGTATTCACTAGTAATTTTTCATGTTCCTAAAAATTGATTCATTTGGCACTATTCTTACTGCCCGACTCCGCAAAATTGTGCCGTATCTTTTATCGAAATTTGCCCATGACCGTGAATAAAATGGATAAAAATTTCTCTTCTGGGGTATTCCAACCAGTTGAACACATACCACATTCGTTTAGCGAGAAAGCACCCTGCACCAGCGCCATGAGTGCCCGTGCCAAAAGACGCCGGAACACACTGGATCGCCGATTCACTGGAAACTTGTAGTGAGGGAAAGTTTGCCCCGTAGAACATGGTTACCTACATTAATTGGTTGCGAGCGAGCTTGTTGCCTGTGCCAAGGGCGCCGACACAAAAATAATGTGATAACGCCGGCGCTGTGTCGCGGGCCAGGCGTTTTCGCGCTGAACTGCTTGTTACATTCGTGTTCTAAGGATTGAGTTACTCGGGAGACAACTCTCTAAACAAGCCCTTAGTAGATGGAGAAATCTTGGTAAAAATCCGGCCCGGTATTAGAGGTAAACGGTAAACAATTCCATTCATTTTTTGAGAATTTGAAGGATCTCAGCAGATGCGAATAATTCTTTGATACGTTTTACAGCAACAGTAAAACATCGTTTTCGAAATAGTACTCCCACCCCTGAAATATAACAGTTCCTCGTTAAAACGCTAGGAATTTTTCCATACCTTAGTATTGTCGGCATGGAAATCTGCGTCAAGCGCCGCTGGAATACGACCAATCTGCGAAGGAAAAGACGATCGGTTGTTTTCCATCACAGAAAAGTGGATATCCTAAAAAGGTGGAAGTTTTTGCTGTATGCAAACTTGCTCTATACTGATGATGCAGATAAAATAAAACAAAGTCTCCCTCAATTTTCTCAGAAGGAGCTTTCGCAACAAACTTTTATGATAGCACCATAGCATGTGGTAGCTATGGATCAAATGATTCTAATGTACCACTTTTTCTTATATTTATGCTGCTTAGACTACTGCTAGTTAAAGATTCTTCAACATGCTTCCCTGAACATTAGCTTCAAAGGCAAAGTCTAGAATCGTATTGATGTAGAAAATGATGGTGGAAATCTAAAATGTAGCGCCGATAATGGAAAACGGAGAGGGAACCGTCGACAAGTCCGTAAAGAAAGCCCCTTTCGGTAGCATCGAAGTAGTATTATTTTGTGGGCGGGGTGAATAGCAGTGGGTGGAGCATATCGCGTCTTGGGCGTTATCGCTTCAGCATTATTGAGTCGTGGCGCCACGTGTGTACATGCTTTGCCGTTTGGGTATCACTCAATATTTCTCGTGGCTTAATTTCGCTCGTAAATCGTGGACTTTGCCTTGAAGAGCAGTGACTGCTAGGAGGCTGAGCTTTTTTAGGAGCGTCCAAAGGGAAACGAAGGCTGTTGGAGTCCGATCACATCCTCTAGCGTGTTAGGCCGATGAAGGCAAAAAGTTGCTTGCCTCTTGAAAAGCAGATCAGAAGCAAATTCCGAAGGAGGATTGGAGGATTCACGATAAATCAGATTTCTCGAGTCTTTTCTAAGATTGCTCCGATCAGTGCACCCCTACCACCTTTACTTACAGCTCCCATGGGTAACGAGCTTTTGTGCCATTAAATGAGGATTCCACGATTAGGACGAAGTCAAAGAAGAAAAACTCACCCAGTGGAGAGACAGGCGGACCGTTTAGAGGTGCGGACCGATCCGCGATTCACATCGAATAAGATGCTCCGGTGAACTAGCATGGCCGCCCCAGCTATCCTACCCCAACTATCGCCGCTTCCCACCCATCCCTCTCGCCGTATAAGCCTCTAGCC